ATAATAATTCTAGAAAAAATAGGTGAAAAACTCCAGAGCCTAGGGCTAGTGAAATAATTCTTAGACTTGATGTTGAAAGCAAAGAACAAAAAAGCAACAATTGACATGTTAAAACTTATCAACATAAAAAAACTTTGCTCTGTGAAAGTTCATGTGAAGAGAATGAAAAGACAAGTTATAGATGGCGGAAATACTTGAAAATCATATCTCTTACAAAGGACTCATGCAAAAATATATAACAAACTATCCAAACCTAACAACAAAACAATCAAATTAGACATAGGCAAAACATATGAAGAGACATTTCACCAAAAGTGATATACAGATGGGGGAGAAGCACATGAAAATGAAAAGATTCCCAATACCATAAGCCACAGGGGAATGCAAATAGATATCACTATATGCCTATCAGAATAGCTAAAATAAAAAACAGTGACAACACCAGATTTTGGCAAGGGCATGTAGAAGTTGGATCACTCATACATTGCTGGTGGAATGCAAAATGGTGTAACTACTATGAAAATATTTTTGCAATTTCTTTTTTTTTTTTTTTTTTTTTGAGTTGGAGTTTCACTCGGTCGCCCAGACTGGAGTGCAGTGGCCGCTTCCGGCCACCGCAGCCTCGACCTGCTGGGCTCCGGCGATCCTTCCGCCTCAGCCTTCCAAGTAGCCGGAATCACAGGCATACGCTACCATGCCCAGCTGATTTTTTTGATTTATTGTAGAGATGAGGTCTCGCTGCCCAGGCGGGTCTCGAACCCGCGGGCTCAGGCAATCCACTCACCTCAGCCTCCCAAAGGCGCGGGATTACAGGCTGAGCCACCGAGCCCGGCTCGCAATTTCTTACAAAAAGAAATATATAATTACTATATGACCCAGTAGTTGTATTCTTGAGCATTTAACCCAGAGAAATAAAAACTTATGTTCACACAAAAACTTGTATATGAATGTTTTTTCATAGCAATTTTTAAATAATAGCTGAAACAAGAACTTCCCTAGATGCCTTCAACAGCTGCTACTTTACTTGCTGGTGGTCTCTGATGTTTATAGATAAATAAAATGATTTTCTTCAAAAAGAGTATTTCTCAATCCATGGCTCATTCTGTGTACTGGATTACAACCATGTGTTCCCCAAACTGTTTTTCCCGTTTCACCAAACAGGAATGAAGTTAGATCCACTTGTGGAAAATGCCCAGGCAAGAGTAATTTTGGCAGAGAAGGATGTGTTGATGGAAGTGTTCTTAGGGCCAGGTTGCTATTTTCCAACCACATAGAAATGATCTAGTCCTCCTCTGGTGTTCTGTTGACACCAAGCAATAGATGAAGTCTCTTCTATTTAAAGTCATGGTCCCAGGGAGATTATCTGTACTCTGTGCATGCTATGCCTGGAAGACACAATAAGCTAGGGTGATATTGCAGCTAACAGTCAAATATTTGCATAAACAATATACTGACAATACATATAATTATATATTATAATTAATATATAATATAGTAGTCATATTGATACATCAGTATATATATTATATATTTTTATATAAATATTTTAATATTATATTACATAATATATCATAGACACAATGTATTCACATGATAGATTAGTCACATTGTAATTAAATATATATGGAGGATATGATGGCTGGGAGGTTTACTGTTTAGTCAGGTGTTTATTTTGTCAGAGTCTCACTCTGTTGCCCAGGTTGGAGGGTAATGGCATGCTCATGGCCACCATAACCTCAACCTACTGGGCTCAGGCAATCCTTCCAGCTCAGTCTTCTAGAACCATAGGTGTGTGCCACCATGCCTGGCTAATTTTTAAAAATTTATTGTAGAGACGAGGTATCACCAAGTTGTCCAGACCAGTCTCGAACCCCTGAGCTCAGACAATCCTCTCGCCTCCGCTTTCCAAAATGCTGGGGTTACAGGTGTGAGCCACTGCACCTGGCTAGTCAGGTTTTTGAGTCCCTGTTGATATCATGCATTATAAAAATGTCATTTCTATTAGGATTTTCTAGTCAAATTGGAATCTTACCAGGTTAAGATAATCACTGATTTAAGAAACAGAATGCTGACTTAAACAGTTTAAGAACAGTTTAAGATTTCATTTGTTCTTTTTGGCTTACTGTTTTAAATACTATATAAAAAAATCTCTACAAACAAAAAACCCTCCCAAAATATCAATTGTGTTAATTATATTAAAGACCCACATTATTATTAATCCTTTGTCGCTATTAAATAATAGCAGTTAAAGAAATGAACAGATATACACTTAGGCTTTTATAATAACTCTGTGGCCATTGGTTAACTTTTGGATGACAACCCTAAATCAGTAAAACAAAACAAACAAAATGGGCTTATATCAAGAACATTCCTTTTTTTTTTTGTTTTTGAGGTAGAGTCGCACTCTGTCACTCAGGCTGGAGTACAGTGGCACACTCATGGCCACCCCAGCATCGACCTGCTGGGCTCTGGCAATTCTTCCACCTCAGCCTTTTTTGATTTACTGTAGAAATGAGGTCTCACCAAGTTGCCTGGGCTGGTCTTGAACCCGCGGGTTCATGCAATCTACTTGCCTCAGCCTCCCAAAGTGCTGAGATTACAGGCTGAGGCACCGAGCCTGGCCCAAACCACATTTCTTTTTTTTTCTTTTTTTTTTTTTTGAGTTGGAGTCTCACTCTGTTGCCCAGGCTGGAGTGCAGTGGCATGCTCATGGCCACCACAGCCTTGACCTCCTGGGCTCAGGCAATCCTTCCACCTCAGTCTTCCAATTAGCTGGACCAACCATGCCCAGCTAATTGTTTGTAGGGATGAGATCTCACCAAGTTGCCCAGGCTAGACAAACCACGTTTCTTGATCTGAACAGTCTATAATAGGTTTCCTGTAAAGGACTGAAACTCTTTAAACAAAATAAGCATAATCCATTGGAAAGAGAAACATAGTACTGACAAACTGACAACTGAGATTATGTGAGTTAGGATCAGTTGCTTGATCTTTATAAAAAGATCAAGCTTTTTAGAAAACCCTCTGTAAATTAAGCTAAACACTTTTTTTCCATCTACTTCAGAAAAATTGTGGTAAAATTTGATGATGTAAGATTTATAGCTGGGCACAGTGGCTCACAACTGAAATCTCATCACTTTCGGAGGTCAAGGATTGTGTGAGCCCAGGAGTTCAAGGGTTAGAGACTGTGTGATAGTGAGAAGATTGCCCTTCAATAGTAAGGGAAGTAGAGTGGCCAGTTGAGGTTTTGACAGTAATAGATAGTGATATGGGAAGGAGATAGTGGTAGGATTTCACAGGAGATGAGTCTGGAAGCAAAAAAGTGTTGAGTGTTCTCAGTGAGTCCCAAGGTCTGAATGGCATGAGTGTGTGAAGGTTGCATGGATGACTCAAAACCAAGCTCTGAAAGTAGCAGCAACTTCACACAAGCAAGAGGGGAAGTGCCTGAGCCACTGGGTCTAAAAGAAGGCTAAAGTACCCACCAGGCCTGTGGCTTCCATTGTATTTTGGGGTGAAGACTCCCAAAATATGCCTTTTCTTTTTGTGTATAAAAAGAGAAAGGGATATTGAATAAATGGAACATCTAAGAGTAGAAGAGGCTGAAGAGGACTTCAGATTTTGAAATGCAGACATGCAAGAAAAGTCCCAGTCAAGGGGTTAGAGGTGGTTTCTTTTTAGTCATGGCAAATAAGGACAGGCAGTAATGAACATGACAGAGATTTAATTCTTGCAACTAATCCTAGAATCCCTCATAGTGGTCTTATGGGTTATCTTTTGGTCTCAGGGTGAGGGAAATTGATGGTGTTAATACATTTAAGGGATAAGGTCTTCCCTATTGAGAGTTATCATGTCCTAGATAATGGACAAAAGTACATAAACGGTAAAAAAAAATCATTTTCTAATAAATGCATACACTAATGCAAGAAGTTAGGAGAACTCTGAAGTGGGGGGAGGGATATATAATAGGAGTTCCCAGTACTTTTGCTCAATTTTCCTGAAAACCTAAAACTAACCTAAAATTAACACCTACAAAACAAAACAAAACAAAAACAACGAAAAGTAGAAACTTGCAGGTGCATTTTCTTTTTCGTTTTGTTCACCCTGTAGGCTTATGATTCCAAGTTAATGGTGCCTCTTTTTTTTTTTTTTTACAAATGCTGAAAGAAAAACTAACACTTATTGGACCTTTAAATCCTAAGAAGCTAATAAGTACTTTATTAATTATTCTCAAACCAACAAATATTTATTAAGAGTATCCTATATCCAATTTAACACATTGAATATTCACATAATCCCATAAAATACTATTATTCACATTTCACAAAAAAAGAAACAGCTCCAAGAGAGAAGTCAAAAAATACATACTAGAACGAGGTAATTTCTCTGGACGCGAAACCCAAAGTTCTAAACCATAAAATAATATCGAGGGAAATTGGGGCTAATACCGTCAGTTACAACAATGAACACCACAGAAAGCTCGCGATATTACACAAACTACCACTCCCGACACGCAAAGCGGCTCCGGTCCCCCAGTCTCTGCCCGGGAGTCCGCCGAGTCCCGGCGTGCCTCGGGGCGCGAAAGGCATCCCGGGAGGTGGAGTTCTCCCGGACGCCGAGCGACCCGGCCAGCGCGGCAGACGCGGCTCTGTTGGCCCCGGCCCGCGGTCCTGCGAGGGCGAGCGCAGAGGCGGAGACCGGGCGCGCCGCTGAGAGCCGGTGAGTCACCCGCCGTCTGCGC